TACTTCTAATATACAGGTCGATATTTCATCTTTCTCTAAAAGATTCCAGAAGTGGGATTAAATTTATTGCGAGAGTAAGGACGCCTGGTATAGGACGCCGAAAAAACAAGGATTTTCGTGAAATTTTTTTTCAGCAATACAACTAGATCAATACAAAACTTTAGGGTTGTTCTATGACATCTATAGACAATACAAAAATATTTTTGTTATTTGAAAAAGTTATTTTACATTGTTATATTTCAATATGTTTTTAGCGCCGCGCAGCCGGAATTGTTATTTTGTATAACGTCTAGCGGGTCCAATTTTTACCTGAAATAAAGAACCAAAACTTTTTATAAATTTTCATGAAATTTTACCCTAAATGAACTATGAAAACCAAGAAAAAGTGCAGAATTAAAGAAATTGTGGGTTTAAAAAAGAAGTTATGATTTTTACAAAAATTTTCGACTTTTTGAATGAAAGAACAATAATTATGTAGAATAAGGACTTTTCCGAATTTTGATATTTTTTTGCTGCAATTTTGATAAATATCTTTATTGTTATTCCAACATTGATAATCAAATGAGGGAACCAAAAAGTACATAACACCTTTCAATGTTTTTAATTATTTTTTCCTATGTAGCTTTTCAGGGTTTGTGATACCTCCATTTCAATTTGCGATTGTTAAATTTTAAGTTAAATAACTTTAGCTAAAGTACAACAGACTTGCGCCCTCCCTCTAAATATTCTAATCTTTTCAGTTGCAATTTCAGTCTTAAATCTTAAAGGATATGATATTCTACGTACAGGCATATGTTAGAAAAAATAATTAAAAACATAGATAATTTACATATTTTTCAGGCTCCCCAATTTGATTATCACTGTTGGAATAATATCAAAGATATTTATCAAGATTGCAGCAAAAAAATATCAAAATTCGGAAAAGTCCTTATTCTACATAATTACCGAAGAAACAATTGTTTTTTAAAAAACGTTTTTAGTTAATCGAAGATAGTAAGTTATTAGCTAACTAAAAAGCTTTGGAAAAAATGAATCGGTCAAATACTTTTTTTTTTGAAACGTTACATAAATTTGCAAAACGTAATTTCGAAAAAAAAAGTTTAAAATTTTCGATACGAAAAAATTATAATTATTACAAACTTACAGCAATTAGATGCTAATCTGCCATGTCAGTCCTATATACTACGTCTTTCGCTTCTTCATAGAACTCGTTTTGTTTCAATAATTGGTTCCTACGAGCTGTTCTGACCTCCTTCGAGCTGATCGAGCTGCGTGATCGATTCGGTGAATCTATTACCATGGAAACACCTTTTTGCCGAATTCGATGCGCGTTTAGACTGTCCAGTTTTTGCTTTTGTCATTCTGTTGTTTCCGAATATCTTCTAACGCCCGAATTAACTGAAATTCGGGACTAGACTGTTCGCCACAAATCTTATATAAAAGACTCCGAGGTCAACGGTCTGTTTTCTAGTCTTGCACTGGCTGAACTTGTGTACACTAGTGAAATAAGTTAGAGTGAGACAAATATATTTTGTTTTTCTTTAACCTATTACACCAGTTCAGGACTAGCAAGGGTAAAAACAGGAAAACAGGTCGTAGAAACTCTAGCTCTCCCGTCGCGCAACCGTGAAGCTGTATCTATTGAAATACTTCGAATTTCGGTATGTTACTTCAGAACTATATTTTCTATGAGTTTTACTATCGATTTATGCGAAAAAATTGAAAATTTTTATTTTATAAACCAGACTCCGCCATTCCCAGCAAACACAATTATATCAATGTTATATAACTACAATAGAAATGATTATAACAGATAATATTGCATGAAAGTTACTGATATGTTGCTGTTATGTTATTATTTCCCACTCGTAGATGTAACATGTAATATATCATGTTATATTATAGTTATATAGAAACATCAATTAATGTTATATAACTGCAAAATAACTAAGTAATGTTCCAGCAAAGACATATGTTTTTTTGTTGAATTCCAACGATTTATTCATTAGTATGGTTCAGATAAGTGATAATGTATGATTATTTTGTCTAAATAATAAAAAAAAACTGACATTTCATATTCCGTATTATTTCAATTATTCGTGAAACTCGCGTGGTTTCGATCATATGTCAGGCGGTCACCCATTTTTAGATCATCATGTTCAATGCTTAATTTCAACGATCGTCCGGAAACTGGTGATGCCGATACACCGTAACGATTTATCTCTCTTGATAGATAATATTTACAATATACTCTTATATCGTTCAAAAAATGTTATGACATATTTGTTGGTAAATGTTTGACACGACAATCACAATATGATTAATATTGATATAATGTTGTATCAGTAATCAAATTTTAACCTACAACTTGCAAAAGAGAGAGAATATTCCTTCTTTCTCTCTCACAATATTTTGACAGAGTAAGGTTATGATTAGACTCTTTGTAAGAACTCTAGTTCTACAATATCGTGATAACGATCTTTGCATATATTAAAATATCATATTTTATATACGAGAAACATCTAAAATATAATTTCACATTTATGTATAAAAATATTGTACAACTGAAATGTAATGCAAATATTAGACTTCTTATATAACATGTTATATTAAAGTTATGTTGCTGTTATATTGTTGATGTAACTTAACCAGTATATAACATAATAACATAACAGTTTTATAACATAGTTATATCGCAGTTATAAAGGAAATTAAGTAACCTCAATATTAATAATGTATAACAGCAGTTATATTACATGTTATATCCTGTGTTATATCAATTATGTTCTGTGTTTACTGGGTTAATTGTTCTTTCGTACATACAGAGTGTCTCAGACCTCCATGATCACACTTTGTGAGAACATGGAACGGATTAAGGTAAACAAGAAACTCCTGTGCCGTTTTACGATATTCATAATAGTTTTCGAGAAATTTATTATTTTGTCTCAGCTAATCAGCGCACAGAAAGCACGGCCGAAAGAAAGATGTCTTCGACCGCCGCGCGACCTTGATATACGCGAATCGCAACTCGCTGCGTCCCTATAGCTACAAGACATAGCGAGGCTTGATACACTAATACATGTGAATGACATATCTGTATGCCGAATTGACGCTGAACCTAAGAGTGTGTTGTTACTTCGCTGTTTTACCTCTACATATACAGCCGAAGCGACGACACGTTTCGATTCGGTACACAGATATGTCATGCACATGTGTTAGTGTATCAAGCCTCACTGTGTCTCGTAGCTATGGGCGGAGAGACGCGATTCGCGTGTATTACGGTTGCGCGCCGGCCGAAGACAACTTTCTTTTGGCTGTTGCTTCCTGTGCGCCGATTAGCTGAGACAAAATAATAATTTCTCGATAACTATTGCGAATATTGTAAAACGGCATAGGACTTTCTTGCTCACCTCAATCCGTCCTACGTTTCCACAAAGTGTGACCATAAAGGTTTGAGACACCCTGTATATTATGTTTTTCTGTTCATCCTTCATCTTGCTTTTGTGCAATCAATTAGTTTTTTCAGTTAGTAATGAATTAAGCCTACTGGGAATACCATTTAAAAATTGCGTCAGCAGTTTTTCACTCATGAGTGACGTGAAAAGCTATTAGGTGGTTGCATATAAAATCGCCCGTTGGCAATAGATGGCGTAGAGTACACTATTTCTTAGAACGGAAAGCTGGCAATACACATGACGATAGGTCTATAGAGTCCCGTCAAAATGCCATAGGTGACATTTGTGCGACGCGTTAACATCATCTATTTTGATTGTGTTTATAATGGTAAGTTTTGTTTCAAATAAGTCACATTTGCGGGAAGTTATGCTCCATTATTTCCTGGCAAAGAGATTGTCCGCGGAAACGCATCATTTGCTAGAAGAAATGTATGCCGAACATGCTCCATCGAGTACAACTTGCAAAGAGTGGTTTCGTCGTTTCCAAAGTGGTGATTTTTCTATGGACAACAAGAACCGCGGAAAACTACCCAAAAAATTTGAGGATACGGAATTGGAAACATTATTGGACGAAAACTCGAGTCAAACGCTGTTGGAGTTGGCCGAAGCCTTAAATGTGGACAAATCAACAGTTTCCAGACGACTACAGACGCTGGGACGGGTGTACAAGCAAGGAAATTGAGTACTCCACATATTAAAGGAACAGGACATTGAACGCTGGAAAACCATTTATGAACTGCTGCTTGAACGACAACAACAAAAGGGTTTTCTCCATCAAATCGTGATTGGAGATGAGAAATGAATCTATTTCGACAATCCGAAGCGAAAAATAGCATAAGTACGTCCCTAGGAACCAGGTCCGTCGACGAAGAGAAACATCCATGCCAGTAAGGTCATGCTTTGTATCTGGTGAGATCAGAGGAGTGTCATGTATTACGAAATGCTGAAACCGTCGGAAACCATCATTGGGGATCGTTATCGACTGCAACTGATCCGTTTGAAGCGAGCTCTGTACGAGAAGAGGCCGGAATAGGAGAATCGCAATGACAACTTGATTTTGTAGCACAACAACACCAGGCCGCATGTTGTTCAACCAGTCAAGAAGTACTTAGAAGGAGTGAACTGGGAAATCCTACCCCACTCGTCATATTCCCCAGACATCGCTCCCTCCGATTACCATTTGTTCCGATCAATGCAGTCAGCGCTTACGGCACAATACTTCACTTCGTACAGGAGTAAAAAAATGGCTGGATGATTGGATTGCCTCCAAAAAACCTGAATTCTTCCTGCGTGGAATCCGATTGTGGGCCGAAAGATAGGCCAAAGTTGTCTGTTCTGTTGGAACTATACTTTGAATAAATCAGTTTGTCGATTTGCTACCAAACTACTGTCTTTTCTTTCGTTAAAAATGGGCGATTTCATATGCAAACACCTAATATTAATAACAAATATCTACTATTTAAAAAAAATTGATAAGATAATAAGAGAATACATTATATCATTTAAAAAAATCCATAAATCATTTTATTATTTTCTCTTCTACAGGCTCCATAGCGCAACACGCAGAGACGTGCTTCTGACGCTCGAACGACTCGTAGGTTTCATACGGAGCGATAAAACAAGGTGAACAAGGCGGAGCAGAACCTGAAAATCGGCTGGAAAGTGCATTGTTTGATGACCTCTGATATAGAGTATATCACAGTTTGAACACACCGAAATAAACTTTTGTTTAATATAGCTAAATCTGAAGTCGTAGCAATAGGTACTCGAAGATTTTTAAATGTTATATTGCTCGATATGCTGCTACGAATCATGATCGAAGGAATATCTGCTACTCACTCTAGTAAAGTTAAACTTTTTGGAGTCACACTCGCTAGCAATTTATCTTAGGGAATTCTTGTTAATAAAATGACAAAAGAAATTAGTAAGTTATACCAACTCAAATTGTGTAGAAATCTATTATCGGATCAACTAAATCAGAAACTGGTATTTTCTGTAATTTTGCTTCATGTTGTTTGCTTCATTATTATTGCTGTATGTCTCTTACCGATGTCTTCCCAACTTATGCATCATCTACACGAAGCAATTAATACTTGCATTAGGTTCACCTTTGTTATATAAACACACAACATCCTACTATGAAAATATGTGATAATTAAATGTTAGCGATCGAAAATTATTCTTTATGGAATACTTTTCATAGAATATTATAACGCAATGGCTAAGCATGCTGTTTAAGCAGATTACTTTTTATTTTGATTTCTTCGGTATATAAATGAGTAGTAACAGACTTAATTAATATTCTTCAATGGTGTACAAAACTATACTCCTTCAGGAATAGAGCAGCTATTTTCTCGAACAAATTACTGGGTAACATCCGCAATGTCTCCAATCCATTACATTCTTCAGGCGTTTTTTATATGATCGTCTTTTAAAACTGAGTTAACTTGCGACTGCTACCTATATTATGGACTAATATAATTTAATTTAGTTTTTTATCTCTTTTTTTGCACTTTCATTTTCATTTTTAATTCTTTCTGCAATATTCTCACTTATATTCCATTTATATTCCATTTATATTCCATTCATATTCCTTTTCATATGATTTTTAATCTTCTGATACTCCAGTATTATTATTATTTTAAGCGTTTTAGGAAATTTATCCTAGAATCCTCAATAAATAATGCTTCCTTCCTTTCTTTCTTCCATATACATACGTGCATACGTATATGCATATACATATGTGTGTGCGCGTCTTTACGCTAAATTAATATAGAAAGTTAACTGATACGTAACTTTTAGAACTTTCTTAGTTGAATACATTGAATTTCAATTTCAAACGCTATAAACTTCTGATAAGTGCACTTTTGGAAAAAATGTTTTAGATAATAATTACACACACACACACACACATACACACACACACACACACACACGCACGCACATATATATATATATATATATATATATATATATATATATATATATATATATATACAGGGTGGGCCATTTTAATCCATCCAGTCGAATATGTCGAAAACCAAGCACGGGAGAGAAAAATTTTTCAGACAAAAG